AAAGCGCCATGGTGCTGCCCCTTCCAGTGCCCTGTGCGAGCCGCCTGCGCCCCTATCTGGTGTAGGCCAGGGCTTGGGACAAGTAGTTCCACTCACCATTTTCCAAAGCACTACCTTACTGAGTGAGATTGGATAACACTGGGAAAACGTACCCGCTCCATTTGGACCAGGGACACTGCGGAAGCCCCATCCTTCCCGAAGGAGTTTTCGGAAGCAAATACACATATAGCATCCGTTTAGGTGTATATGGAGAACTCGAGGTAATTGTAACCCTCTTGGAAAGGCAGAAGTCTGCCGGGGAAACACGGGATGTTGACGCAGAAATGCATCTTCGGGTGCGTCCGACCCCGAGATTGGTTTGCAGCGATGGACCTTCAGGAAAGACGCACCCGAAGATGCGTTAAGATTGGCCGTAAACCCACCGCCTTTCTTGGGTGCAATGAAGTAAGGGCTATAAAACCCCGACCTCATATCGGCCGGAGGGACCGGCTCTATCGCATCCTTCGCCAGTAGGACTGCGATCTCTGCCCGCAGAACAGGGGCATCGGCCACCCTCACTGTAGTGAAAGGAAAAAATGAAACAAAAGATTCTCCACCCGGCCCTCCTCCGGGGAAGGAGTGGTGCGTTCACCATCTCCCGAAGAGCAGATCTCTCCATCACTGGGTCGCCTGTCTCAGGGTCGCTTGCTTCTCTGCTTGCCGCCAGGTTTGACAGGGCTCCACGACGCCGCTTTGCTGAAGGCTGCTGCGGATGTGGCGCGGGAGCGGGGGCGGACGTGGGGGCCCGCCCTCGGTGACGAGCAGGCTGGGGCGCTGCAGCCAGTGGACGGGTGGAGGCAGCAGCTGCCCGCCGGGGCAGGATGTGTCGGATCGCCTCTGTCTGCTTCTGGGCAGCCGAGAACTGCTGGGCAAAGCTCTCGACTGCGTCGCCGAAGAGGCCGGTCTGGGACACAGGGGAATTGAGGAACCAAACCTTGTCGGTGTCCCTCATGTCTGCCAGATACAGCCAGAGATGGTGCTCCTGGACCACAAGAGTGGACATCGCACGACCCAGAGAACTCGCGGTGACCTTCGTCGCTCGGAGCGCGAGGTCAGTGGCGGTTCGGAGCTCTTTCAGAACTTCCGGATGGTGACCACCCTCGTGCAGGTCCTTCAGTGCCTTAGCCTGGTGCATCTGCAGTAGCGCCATAGCGTGTAAGGCGGAAGCAGCTTCCCCGCAAGCCGTATAGGCACTGCCGGTTAGACCAGACGAATGCCTACAGGCCCGGGAAGGGAGTACTGGGTGTCTCCCCGCCAGGAGGAGGCGGACTTAGGACACAATTTCATCGCTACCGCCCGCTCCACCGAGGGGATCGCCGAATACCCCTTCGCTGCACCGCCGTTGAGGGTGGTGAGGGAGGAGGCCGGTTTCTGGCAGTAAAAGGTGCCGTCCACGACCTGGTGAGCTCGTCATGCACTTCTGGGAAGAAAGGCACCAGGGCGGGGCGCTGAGAACGCAAGCCACCCCGAGAAACCAATCATCCAGCCTTGAGGGCTCGGGACACGGTGGAGGTTTCCACTTGAGCCCGACACTTTCGGCGGGCTGGGAAATCATAGCTGTCATCTCCGGATCCGATTCAGGCTTTGCCACCGTCCCAGCGCGTTCCGTGGGCCGCTCCACTGGATCGGAGGAGCAAGAGGAGTGATGGTCCCTGCGGGGTTGGTTCCCTGCGGGGTTTGCCATCACTGTAACCCTCAAACTGCCTGCGCTACTGCTGCAAGTGGTTCTCGTCTGTCCGCCAGAACGAGCCCCAGATCGTGGCAGAAGCAATGGGACTCCGCCCCCTTGCGAGTAGCGGAGCCTGGTTCGCAGCTCCGAGATGGTCATCTTCCCGCAATGAGAACATGACTCATCCACGAAGGCCACCTCAGCGTGCTTGATGCCCAGACACGTGAGGCAGCGATCGTGACCATCACCCGGTGCCAGGTAACGACCGCACCCAGAAACGCACGGGTGAAACGGCATCCTTATAAGGACGATCCGTCGTCTTTATAAAGACGCACCCGTGGAGCTCTTTTAGAGAAATTTGCTCTTT